GAAAGAACTCCCCCACTAGGATCTCGTATAGTCACCAGCTGACGCTCGCAATCGATAACCGCACCGAATCGGCTCAACCAGTCCATGCCCACTATAACACAGACATCACCCATCGCAATAGGAATCAGGTCGATCGGGAACTCAACCCCGAAGATCTCCAATACACATCCCCGGAAGACCTCAGTAGCACAAATCACTCTGTCGGCGGCTATGGAAACCCGCAGGGGCCGACTCAATGCCCCGCGACTAACACTGATACGCTGACTAAATGCCAAAGACACAAAAGATCGACTCGCACCCGAGTCAAATAACACTAAAGCAGGTACAGAATTCACAAGGAAGGTACCTATGCATAGCATAATATAAGCATAATATCTCAACACCATAAATAAATAATGAAAAGGAAACATACCAGCCACAACGTCGGGTGCAGCGCGGACCTCTTCCGCAGTCAGCTGGAAGGCTCTCCCCGAGCCCTCGGTGCCTCGGCCTTCACGGGCCGACTCTCTGTAGCAGCAGCTCTGATGGCGGCGGGAGCAGACCCCTGAGATGCCCCGCGCAGCAGCGGACACTCCGCCTTCCGGTGTCCAGTCTGGTTGCAGTGGAAGCACACTGCAAATCCCTTGGGGCAGTCCTTAGCCATATGCCCCTCCTTGCCACATTTGTAGCAAGACCCTGCCCGACAGACGCCATCGTGACCCTTGCCGCACTTCCCACAAGTGCGGCCCTTCTGGCTCCCGGGTCTGGGATCAGCGGGCTTGGCCCGCTTGGCTGCCGGCTGGGACTGTGCCGGCCGCCGATCCCTCCCCAGAGACTCCGCCTCCTCCCTGGCCTGAGTCTCAAGCTCAATCTCCCTCTTCCGAGCATTTGCCTGAAGCTCGGCAAATGTCCGGTACGAGGAGTTCGCAGCGAACTCCCGAATATCCCGCCTCAGAATGCTCAGGTAACGGCTCATACGTGCCTGCTCGGTGGACACGTGCTCAGGGCAGAACATCGCCCTCTCATGAAACATCCTCGTAATCGCTGTAACTGACTCGGTACCCTGCTTGAGGGTCAGAAACTCCTGCGCCAGACGTTCCCTCTCCACCTGAGGAACGTACTCATCTCGGAACATGGTAGTGAACCTCTCCCAGGTCACTGCCGAAAGCTCAGTCGGTGTGAAATGCGCAGTCACAAACTTCCACCAGTCCTTCGCTCCCAAGCGAAGCTGGTTCAGCGCGAACCGAACCTTCAAATGCTCAGGGGACGAGCAAGTGAAGAAGCATCCCTCCATATCAGATATCCACCTCATAGCTGCCACCGGATCCTGCGTACCATCAAACTCTGGTGGCTTGGTGTTGCTGAACTCCCTAAACAACATCGCATCACCTCCCTGGGGTCTTGCCGCAGCAATCGCTGCGGTAGCCGCTGCAACCGCAGCCTCAGAAAGAGCGCATAGCGCTCATCAAACGTCTCAATCAAAGCGGTCTTAATAGACCCGAACATCTCTGGTATCTCAGCTCTGATGACCGCAGCCACCTCCTCATGAATGATCTGTCGAATCTCCTCATCACTAGTTCCGGCATCCTCCGGCATATGACGTGTCCTCACCATGATCAACCTCTGAAATACAACATGCGATAATTAGAATTCACTCGAACACTCTTACATTCAACAATCCACCCCTCCTTGATTCTTGGCATCCCCAGATTCTTATTTGGACTGTGTACCGCACCGGTGCTTTTAGTAGTACGGGCCCAATACTACTGTCCGCACCGTCTCAGTACACACCCCAAATCGTCCTCTTCGGATCCCAGTCCCCAAGTACTCTATTATACTTAAATCACTCTGTAACAGATCTCACACAAAGCCCTAGCTGCTACCTAATTACTCTCAGCGTCTCATAGCAGCTCACCATTCCCTAAGCTAAGGCATCACAAAACAGGCCACTCTAGTCCTATCAGCAATACCTAGCCTACTCTAGCATGCAAACACATCACAGTAATAATTATTACATAACAAAAGATATTTTGGGAATTCACCGTTCGGGCGCTGACTGATCGTACACACGTTTCTTCCTGGAAAACCCTTTACTCTTAGAAAATTTTGGTTTTATTTTGTAAATATCTCTTTAATTCCTCAGTTTGAGTTCAAATACCCCCGAAGGTGTACCCGAATCCCTCAAACCAAGGCTCTGATACCAATTTGTAACACCGAAAATTTAAAACCAATTTTTTTTTAATTTTTATAAAACATAATTCCATCAATATTCATAAAACAACATCATAAATTGTTCAACAAAACATACAAAATCCCAAGATCATAATGTCAAACTCCAAACGTGTGTGTGTACGGATCAAGCCGGCGCCTTCCCGCGGTCGTCACTAGTACCTGAAACAATTAACATCAACACTGTAAGCACAAGGCTTAGTGAGTTTCCCAAAATACCACATATAACACACATTAGCCACTCTAGGCTATAACTCTGTGGGTCCGTGCACCCAAACTCTGTGAACCCTCAGGTTCTAACTCTGATAAACATGCACCACATAAATCACATAGAAATCATGCAGTACAACACATACATAGCATACAAATACTCTATCACATAGCTCTGGTTACCTACTCAAGGTAAAGTATAGTGAGAAGACTCACCTCGCGTGTCTCGGTAAATCGTAACCCTGAAATCGCTAAACACTCGATCTGCCGAGCTGTAGTCCCCCTATAGCACAATACATCCCTAATTAACACTTTCCCAACTAGGGTTGACCACACTATCAAAGTCAATCTAGGTCAACGCTGGTCAACGGTCAACGGTCAACTTTGACCGGACTCGGCGAGTGCACTATAGCGACTCGGCGAGTCTGAGCGCATGCACCAATTTCCCTGGAACCTCCCTGACACGTCGAGCATTTCCCTCAACTCGACGAGCTCCACCTGGCACGAGTTGTGGGGCCACCACGACTCAACTCGCCGAGTCTCAAGAACAACTCGGCGAGTCCAGTTTGACTCGGTCCACCTGTCCATCCTGACTCCCCCTGACTCACTGAGTTCACCCTTCCCAACTCGGCGAGGCCACTCGCTGAGTGGTCGGGCAACATTCATGCTACTCGCCGAGTCTGTTCTTCGGACTCGGCGAGTCCGTGCCATGCACTGACTCAATCTTGCTCTAAAGGTCAGATCCAGTCCATTAATCCATAGATCCAGTCCCTCCAAGCTTATTTAGCACGTAAAGTCACAATCTTGATGCACATATAACCTCTACATGACCATAAATGATGTTTTTGACTCAAATACTTCAACACAAGGTCAAGGACTCCATTTCCACCCATAAAGCTTGATGAGTGAGGCCCTCTGGACCTCTATGGATCCAGATCCATGGTCTCAACTCAAAGAGGGAACCAAAGGGGCACCAAATCACCCCATAAATGACCACATTAAGCCCTAAATTGCATCAAGCTTCACCAAACAGAAAATGGTCCGAAATAATACCTCTAGAGTGATGATCCAAGCTCCAAATCCACGAAATAGCAACCTCCTTTGCTTCCTCTTGCCTAGGGCCTCCTTCTTCTTGCTAAACAACACACACAAGATCAAGAATGGCTCTCTTTTCTTCACAAAACGCTCAAGAACTCTAGGGACACTCTCTGGGGGTTGGGTGAGCACAAATGACGGCCATAAGGCCCTTTAAATAGGCCTCAAACCCGGAGATTTAGGGTTTCAATACACAGCGCAGACTCGCCGAGTCCATACCCTGGACTCGCCGAGTCCAAGCGCGCACCAGCGATCAATTCCGCGTCCCTACTCGGCGAGTCTGAGCTCCAACTCGCCGAGTCCCTCTCACAATATAACACAATTTAAACTTACAAGATACCTGGTAAAATCCGGATGTTACAAGAAAAGTCACAATTATTTGTACCATATCGACAAACAATCTTTCTTCTTTCTTCTCCAATTGATCATAATTGATAATTAGTAATCTTCCTTCTTGGGTCATCCTAATCTCTTTTCAGTACCCTCATGATAATACCAAACAACCAATCTTTTTCTCTTTTGCGCAATTGATAATTGTCGGTTCATTCATACTTTTTTTTTCTTTTGCATAAACGTTTCTTGTTTGTGAATCTAATATCATTTGGAACTACTTTTTCTATACAACCCATCAAAAAAGAAGGAAAAATCTAGAATGGAGGTTGCTAATAACTTGATTGGAAAAGTCGTGGATTTGCTGTTCGGAGTAGTTAAACAGGAGATTGACTACGTCTGGAATTGCCCTGAAAATATTGATAAGCTGAGGAATGAAGCTCAAAAGCTCAATGATATGAAGGGCATGGTTCAACAACGAATCAATGTAGCTAAAGATAAAGGAGATCGTCTCTTAGATGGTGTGCAAAACTGGATCGAAAAGGCCGAAGCTGAAGTCTCCAATGCCGGGGAGTTTCTTGAAGGTGAAGCTAATGCCAAGAAAACATGCTTTAACACACGACTATGTGTCAATTTAGGCACCCTTCGTCATTACAGTAAGATGGCAACATCAAAGACAAGCTATTCTACAGATCCACGAAGATGGCAAAACATATGAGAGTTGTGTCTCCATTCCTGCTCCCACTCCAAATATCCTAGACCTATACGAACGCAAGAATCTTGATGATATCGATACACACAAGTTTACTTTGGGTGAAATCATTAAAGCTCTCTCAGATGAAAGCATACAAATCGTTGGAATCTTCGGCTCAGGAGGTGTGGGAAAAACAACATTAGCGAAGGAAGTTGTTTCAGAACTGAAGAATCTATTTGCAGATATTGTGTTTATAACCGTCTCAAAAACCGTAGACGCTACAAAGATTCAAGAAAAGGTGTATATAGCAGCAAAGTGAATAATCAATGGGGAAAAAGCTTTAATCGTTTTAGATGACATATGGGAGGAACTATTACTCTCTGATGTAGGCATTCTGTGTGGGAATGACCACATGAACTGCAAGATTTTGTTAACATCAAGAAGCAGAAATGTATGTGAAGCAATGAATGTGCAACGTAATATCTGTGTAAACACTTTGACTGAAGACGAATCGTGGATCCTTTTTAAACGTGTGGTTGGTGAAAAAATAGAGACAGACACTAGCTTGAAAAAAATCGCAAAAGCTGTCGTTCAAGAATGTGGTGGATTGCCACTCATCATTCAAGCTGTAGGAAGAGCCTTGAGAAGCAAATCCAGTCCTATATGGGAGGCGACACTGGATCGGCTACAAAAACATGCTCCTCTAGATATCGCTCCTGAGATAAGGAAGGCGTTTACGCATTTGAAGCTGAGTTATGAGTATCTTGAAAGTGAAGAAGCTAAATCTTGCTTCTTACTAAGTAGTTTGTATAGAGAAGATGGATCGATTCGGGTTACAGATTTGGTAAGCTATGGGGTGGGTCTAGGGATATTTAATAATCTCGATAGCATTCAAGATGCAAGAAATAGAGTTCAAATTGCAGTTGACACTCTCAAATCATCTTTCTTGTTATTGCCAACGGAGTACAAAGATCTTGTTGAAATGCATGACGTTGTTCGTGATGTGGCGTTGTTAATAGCTTCTAAAGGTAAAGATAATTTTTTGGTGAATTCTGGAAAACGTTTGAGAGAATGGAAGCCAACAAAGAATACTTCTGAAAGCTACACGAAGATCTCTCTCATGTATAATAAAATTTCTGAGCTTCCTGATCAAGACCTTCAATTCCCTCTTCTTGATACCTTCATTATACGAGACAATGAAATTTCATTTGTCAGTGATGAATTCTTTCGAGGAATGAAAGAAGTTAAAGTTCTAGATTTGTCTTATAACAATCTCTGCTTCCTCCCACAATCAATGAAGCTGCTCAAAAAACTCCGCATGCTTGATCTAACTGCGAACAATGGCATCAATGAAATTTCTCTACTTGGGGAGTTAAAAGACCTTGAGATTCTAATGCTTGGATTTACTGGAATTGAACAGATTCCTGAAGAGATTGGTCAATTGACCAGTTTAAGGATGCTGAATCTTGAGTGGTGTGACTCTCTATCATGTATAACACCTGGTGTCATATCAAGGCTCACTTGTTTGGAAGAGTTGTACATTTTACACTGTGGTGGAGATATTGCTGAACTTAGTCTTGTGGAACTAAGTATGTTGAAGTCGTTTAGAACTCTATTTATTTGTGTATAATCCTGGTTTTTTTCTCCAAAGGTACTGCGGAATTGGAAACATTATCAGGGTTTTATATTCAAATTGGTGACAGATCAGATTATGTTTTTTCAATACATAAATCTCATATACGACGCGTACTGTATATTGCTCGTGTTGGGAACGTATTTACTGATTCAGTGAAGAAACTGATTCAGGTAAGTGAGTCTATTGTGTTGGAGTCGATAGAAGATATGGATAGCATTCTACCAGACATGTATGAAGAGAATTTTAATGATTTAAAGTCTATCACTTTGCGTGGTTGTCAGAATGTTTCATGCTTGGTGAAGACTATGGATCAAGATGCAATGCAAATCTTTGGTGAAAGGGAATCAAAGGAGAAGTTTTTCGCCCAAATGGAAGAAATCATCTTGGTAGATCTGCAATGCTTGGAGCTTTTATGGGATTGCCCACATCAATATATAAGCTTTGGTAATCTACAAATAATCAAAATTAAAGGCTGCCCCTCCTTGGTAAGTCTAATTCCAGTAGATGTAGCACAAGGGCTTGTGAATCTGATTGAGATAGAGATTCAAGATTGTGATAATCTTGTAGTAGTGATTTCGGGAAGTGATGAACATAAAAATGATGGTGAAATTGAGCAAATAGAAGGCACTGGAATTGATGCACAGATCGTGTTCTCTTGCCTTACCAGTATTAGCTTGAGTGGTTTATCTGGACTTGAGAGCTTCTACTCTGGTCATTCTACCATCAAATATCCTTCTTTGAAGTTTATAAAGGTGGAAGGTTGTGTAAGCATGACGAAATGGGGCCATGGAGTCCATGTTATACCTAACATCAAATTTCATGATCAAGGAAGAGATTGTTCCATCAATGATATGATCGCAAATGAGGTATGTAAAGGGTGGATCAACACATATATACCACTAATTTATTGTTTTCTTATGTGGTCTAACTTGTTAATAACTTTTGCAGGCCAGTGGAGAAATAGAATTTGGAAGTTGAAATGATAATTAAATAAGTACATGGACAATGAAACACATGGTAGTAGGTGTGTGTGTGTGTGTATATATATATATATATATATATATATATATATATATATATGGGTTAGGTTCATTTGAGCCCACCTATATTTTGTGAGACCGTGAGACTTATTTTTTTTTATTTTTTTTATTATTATTTTTATTATTTTTTTAGTTAATTCATGTTCCGAAAATAATATTTAAAAAAAGAATTTTTTGATTTTTCCATTTATTTTGCATTTTAAAATTATTTTTAGAATATGTACAGTGTAATATTCTATTTTACAATATTTCACGTATTTTTCAAAAAAAAATAGAATTTTTTTTTAATTTTTTAATTTTATTTTTTTTAATTAATTCAAGTTCCGAAAATAATATTTAGAAAAAGAATTTTTAGATTTTTCCATTTATTTTGCATTTTAAAATTATTTTTTAGAATATGTCAGTGTAATATTCTATTTAGAATATTTCATGTATTTTTCAAACAAAAAAAAAACGGAATTTTTTTTTATTTTTTTATATTTTTATTAGTTAATTCAAGTTCCGAAAAAAAATATTTAAAAAAAGAATTTTTGGATTTTTCCATTTATTTTGCATTTTAAAATTATTTTTAGATTTGGTCTCACGGTCTCACAAAATTAGAATGGTCTCAAATGAACCTGAACCTATATATATATATTATATATATATATATATATATATATATATATATATATATATATATATATATATATATATATATATATATATATATATATATATATATATATATATGAGACAACTCAATACCAACTAGGCAACTGTTGATATTGCTATAATTGTACATATATTTTGGTGCAATATGTTAATGTTTTGAGCTATGTTTTGATATATTTGAAGATAAATGATGATTAATATGCATTGAATTGATAAATTGCAAATAAATTCATAGTGAAAAAGAAAAGGAAGCAAATTGAAGCAGATAAGGACCTAGAGAATAAAAAGACAAAAGTCGAAGCACGCAACACGTCCAAGCACAAATACGTGTCTCGTAGAGGCTTAACCCTTTGATTAAAACGCAGACACATACGTGAAGGTGACACATCCAAGACAATTGCATGTCGCGTGTGTTGTATATTTAGAAAATCTATATATGGCATGATCTCTCAACCTTAAAAGTGGTGCATGTCGAGACTGGTCTGTAATAATGAACTGTTTTGCGAGGCAGTTTTGTAAAAATCGCCAAATATTGTAGAAAAAATGTATAGATGTGTGCAAATACTACCTTTAAAGCTAAGGACCTGAACTTTATGCATATAAAATAGTTTTTTAAAATATGGTGTTTAAGAGGGATAAAATAGGTATCGAATATACCATAACTTCTCTGTATAATTCTGGAAAAAAAATAACCCATGAGTCATTGTACTTTTAAGATATCAAAGGACCATAACTTTACTTTTTTTGGTCATTATTAGGAAGTTGAAGGTTGACCTGGTGTGAAGGGGGTGTTTGGATTATATGAAGGGTGTTTGACTAGTCGAGGTGAGTTCCTCACTCTAACCTTAGGGTATTATATGCCTACTATTAGGTTGTGTGAGATTTGGAAGTATATGGTTGATAGTTAAAGTAATACTTGTTGCATTAGTTATAGTTGATGTACTTATTTGTTATGTTGAATGTATATGCATGATATGTTTAGGCTCGATGGCTGAATACAGAGTCGATATGTTTGTTCTCTATGGCTAAATATTGAGCCGACTCATCGAAGGCCATTGTGCCAAGTCAAGGGACCGAAGGCGGAAAGGTCAAGTTCGTGGACTTGAAGGCTGAATACCGAGTTTTTATTTGGGTGCTTTTTAGGATCTGTTCCTAAATAGACATGAGATACATGATCTTGATGTTTATATATTATATGTATGCTTGGATATTTGTTGATGGCATGAAATGTAGGAGTACGGTGTAATCCTTCTATTGTTATGTTGTGTTGGAATTCACTAAGCTTCATGCTTACCCTTTCCTTTATAAAATGATTATTACAGGTACATATGGTATGAATGAGGCTTTAGCTTGACTGTATACCTGTGCGGTTGAAGATTCGGTCCTTGTCAGAGACACTTGATATTGGATTTTAAGAATATTAGTTTTTCGTTGTTCTTTTGAAATATAAATTGATTTATATTGTTGGAAGTATGTTTTGATTTTAAAATGTTCTTTGAATACTTGAAACTTAACAGTTTTGGTTAATTAATGGATTTAATCGTTTTTTTATTATAAATATAAATGTTTTCAAAAGTTTAAATTTATTTTAATTTTTGGGACGTTACATCAAATGATCTAGGAGTTTCATTCTATATTGAAATGGTAAATTTGTATTACCAACCTTGATAAATTCAAAATTAGATTACGACATCCCTCTTTTTTGTTGTGAATTATATTTTGGATCCTAGTCTTGAATATTTATTTTGGGTTAAAATATTAAGTATTTATATCACTAACTAAAAACTATGTATTTTTGTATAAAGGTCTGGAAACGATGATCTCGCTACTACACAAGTTGGCTCCTCCAAATCAAACTTCTCTCTACTCTCGATTTTGTCGAAATAGAAGCTCACCGTAGCCAATTACATGGATTGGATGAGGAACTTGAGGATGATTCTTCGATACGAGGGCAACGAATATGTCCTCAAAAAGCCGCTTGTCAAGATCGGTCTTTCCACCGCCACTCCTGAGGAAATTCTCTTATACAATATACACTTTGATGATGCCACCAAGGTTGCTTGTATCATGGTGTCTACTATGGAGCTTGAACTAGCCAAGTTTTATGAAGAATACGTTCGATACGAGATAGCTCTCGACCTTTGTGGAAAGTTCCACAAGAAGGTGAGACAAGAGCGTTTTAAAGTTATCAAAGCTTTCATGGTCTACAAGCTCCAGGAAGGAGAATTTGTTTTCCATTATGTATAAAAGGTGTAAGGTATGTGCAACAACTCCATAGTCTTATTGTGTTGTTTATGATGAGTTGGACATTGACATGGTTCTAAACTCATTAAATCCTAGTTATGATCAATTCGTTCTGACCAATTATTTGAACAACATGGAGACGACATTAATTGAGTTTAAAATTGTTGCAAACTGCTGAATCGAGGATGAAGAAAAATCATGCCTCTACAACGACAAATGATCCTGTCCTGGCCATCAGATCTGACATAGGGATAAAGAGAAAGGATCCTTCCCGATCTGGAAGGAAAGGGAAGACCCATGCTAGAGGGTTTGACAATAGGTCAAGAACGAAGCCCAACTTATATGTCCTGGTGCTTAGTCATCCAAAGGAGGCCACTTGCTTCCAATATGGTGAAGAGGTCCATTGGAGAAAAATCTGCACTAAGTACCTACAGGACTTGAAGGATGGAAAGATTAAGGCATCCTCTTTAGGTATTTACACTATTTAAGTTAATAACACATAACTTTCTAATTTATGGGTCCTTAACACATGATGTGGTTTCCACTTTTTTCTGAGTTGTAGGGCTAAGTGAAAGTAAGGAGGTGGAGCATGGGAAGCTCAAATTGATAATAGGCAATAAGTAATCTTCATCTGTTACCAAGATTAGGACATATGGGCTTATGCTTAGTAGTGGTGTTAGGGTTCATTTGATTATTTGTTGTTATTCGTCAGATTTAATGTGAAACTTTATTTCATTTCATGCACTATTTAGACAAGGTATTATATATTCATTTGATAATGAAATTGGTTCTATTTCTGCTTATCATAATGGTGTTTGTATGTTTGAAGCTTTACCTTGTAATAGTGTGTATGAAACTGTGACTTATGTTGATAACCTAGGCAATAGTGTGTTTCATATTGATTCATCCAATGGTGTGGACAAAGCATGCTTGTGTCATTGTCATCTTGGGCACATAAATAAGAAACACATCACCCAACTCCAAAAGGATGGATTTTTGGAGTCATTTGATCTTAGGATAGATGACGAATGTGAATCTTGTCTCTTGGGCTAGATGAAAAAAGTCACCTTTCACTTGAACATGTGAAAGAGGAGAAGGGTTGTTGGACCTAATCCATACAGTTGTGTGTGGCCCACTCAGATCCCCACAAGAGATTCCAATCGATACTACGTGACATTTACAGATGATTATAGAAAATATGGTTGTATCTACTTAATCAAACATAAATCGGAAACTATTGAAAAGTTCAAAGAGTTTAAGCACGAGGTCGAAAATCAATTTGGCGGGACGATAAAGATGCTCAGATGTAAGATAGGTGGTGAGTATGTTAATATTGAGTTCCATGACTATCTTAAAGAATATGTAATTATTTCACAATTGAATCCTCCCATAGCACCACAACTTAATGGTGTGGCTAAGAGGCGTAATCGAACCTTACTAGATATGGTTCGTTCCATGATGAGCCAAGCTTCTCTTTCGATTCATTTCTGGGGTATGCCTTAGAAACATCTGCCCATATCTTGAATCTTGTTCCAACAAATAAGGTTTCAAAAATACCACATGAAAATGTGGAGAGGGAAAGCTCCCTCTCTCACACATATCAAGGTCTGGGGTTATGAAGCACTCGCAAGACGGGAGACGCATGACAAACTTGAATCCATAGCCAAGTAGTTGTAATTGTTTAGTAGTTAGACAAGAAGGTATTCCAGAACCTTCCAATACCTTGAACAAAGTTAAAGAGGGTTTTTAGGGTTTTTGGAAGATTCCTTATAGATAATTAGGAAAGTAGATAATAATCTGGATTTGAAATAATATTGTTTTATTTCAAATTATGGTTTCTAGGGTTTTCCTAACAGCTATAAATAGGGCCCTTTGGCATCATATTTTGAGCCACTTAATATCTTAAGAGAATAGTCGAAAATCATCTTCTCTCCCCTCTCCTCAACTCTTGTTGCTACTAGGATTTTGGGTACAAGCCATTAAAGGCATTTATTCCTTTAGTGATAGTTTTCCAAGATTTTGAACAAAGATTCATCTTCGTTATTTGCAATACTAATTAAAATGGTATGTAACTCTAATTGACCTCTCTCCTAGGGTTTCTTCATATTCATAGTTAGTTGCTATCAATAAAGAAAATATAGATCATTTCTAGGTTGCATGTGAACATAAGGTTTAAAGGGTTTTTTTCCACCGCATGTAAAATTTTTGTAACCTAGAAAACCCATCAGTTTTCTGCACTAGTACTGGTATTGATGGTACCAAATCCCGAATTTCGTGAATTTGGAGTACCGACTACTGTCCCATATTTTTAAATTCGGTATGTTCGGTACCAATTCCGGTACAGTATCGATACCGGAACAAAATTTGGTATAAATTGTTCATCCCTAAAAATGGTCACTTGGATTTTTTTTTTATCTTACTAAATGATATCAAATTTGATGGGCAAAGTAGATTAATGTGAGTAAAGGTTAAACAATAGTCACACTTATAATTAATTGACGTGTCTATAGAAAACTTATTGATATGGTTTAAATGATTAAAGATGTCTAAGTTACATTCATTAGCCATTTTGAAAAGTTTTGGTGTGTCTGAACGATAATAAATGTCATGGTTAACAATAGTTCATGTCGCCAAATAGATATAAATAGCAATGACGAAAATAAATTTTTTGACAACAACGAAAAAATAAAAAATAAAATAAAACCAGGGTAGTAATTTCATGTGACTATAGGTAATATAATAATCATATTTAAGAAAAGAACATTATATGACTATACAATAACTACAACTACAATTTACATTTAATGTATGTGTCTAATATATAATGAATAGTCACACACAACAATATTTGTCCACAATGAAAACAAGTTATTGGTGTCATGAAGTGAATAACCGTCAGATTAACAACATACGTGTGTTTGTAAGACAATTACTGTCATTGTTTAATTGATTTTCAATGTCGAAAGGATATATAATAATCACACTTAAAAATATATGTATATAATGGTGGCAATAGTCATTCTTAAAAGTATTCATGCAGCTATAATTTAAAGGATACAATATTTAAAAAAAAAAAAAAAAAGCAATCGTATGTGTATAAAACACGTTCGATCATGCTTTTCTTAAATTTATGTGTCTAAAATCTCATAAAATAATCGTTTGTGTGACTAAATAAAAGCAAATGACATAGTGAAAAAATATTTATGTGGTCGTTGAATAACAATTGACTGTAAAAAAATGCAAGTGTGTCAAGGAGTTTATAGCCACATTTACTAGACAAAATGTTTGATTAGAACAACATTTTGACCATGGTTTTGTTAAATCGATGTGATTAAATACTCAATAAACACTAATTTTTGTGAGTAAATAGTAACAAATGCCACACTAACAATAAATCAACGTGGCCTTTCAATAAATGATAGTAACTAGCAAAAAACGATTGTGTCTAGCAAGTGTTTATGGTTACATTTAATGGACATAATGCTTGATTACGCCGCCAAAAATAACGGTACCTAATAGTTACACTTTTATGCCACGGTCACAGTTTTTTATATGATACATCCATTAAATTTTACAGTAATTTCACTTTACCGAAGGATAAAAACGCAACGAAACTATGTCAAAAGGACCACCAATAAAAAAAATCATGGTTTGGACTAAAACCTCACAAAAAATGCATACAACAGGGACCAGTTTTGCAATTTTGTAAATAAAAAGGTATGGCTTTAGACACATGATAATGGTTTTTTGGAGTGACCATAGCTTATCTTTATACTACCGGATCTTCTTGGTATCCAAATACAGAAAAATCACTCCATCATAACTTAACTGTCACCTTTATTCCACCGTCCAACTACATTAAACACAACTTCAACACCACCCTTATTCATTAATTCTAGCCAACACCATATTATCTTTATTGCCAAACCATCCTCAGATTCAAGAAAATCATTTGTTGGTCAATTTATTTAATTGAAACCCGAAAACACTGGAAAAAAAAACGAATAAGAAGCGACGCATAAATCAAGAGGAAAGCAAACACGTGTAATTGATCAGAAAAAGCCCATGTTTCATTATCTACATCCCAAAGGTCACCATCTCCTCCATTACAGGTAACCTTAATCACCAATACCATTAACCTCCAACCTTATTACCTTAAGATTTGTTACCTGCAACATAGATAAAAACCCACTTGTACGTCATTCCCTTGTTCATCACCATCTCCCCCTCATAATGACATCACTATTGATTTGTTATCTGCAACATAGATAACTGACTTTGTGACATTGTGACATATGATAAAAACCCGAATGACCATTTTTGTAATTTTGTGTTTTTTTCTCACACCGGCAATTGATAATTACCCTGTGCAGTATCCATACTTGCTTTTTATATTGCATAAACATTTCATGATCCTACATCTAATATCATTTTAAACAACATTTGCCATTAAAGCAACTAATTAGTTTATTCACTACGGCTATGTATAATATTTTTCAAAAACAAATTGATTTGGGCTAAATTTCTTTTCTAAGCTTAAGCTGAGAAAGAATAACAACTTACAGTTGTTTTATTCAATTTTTTAAAAATGTATAGTACAATATCTTTTTTAATATTAGTCACTTTATTGCTAATCACTTTAATAATGACATAAATAAAGAAAAGTTACAATTATTTGTACCATATCGACAAACAATCTTTCTTCTTTATTCTCCGATTGATCATAATTGATACTTAGTAATCTTCCTTCTTGGGTCATCCTAATCTCTTTTCATTACCCTCATGATAATACCAAACAAACAATCTTTTTCTCTTTTGCGCAATTGATAATTGTCGGTTCATTCATACTTTTTTTTTTCTTTTTCATAAACGTTTCTTGTTTGTGAATCTAATATCATTTGGAACTACTTTTTCTATACAACCCATCAAAAAAGAAGGAAAAATCTAGAATGGAGGTTGCTAATAACTTGATTGGAAAAGTCGTGGATTTGCTGTTCGGAGTAGTTAAACAGGAGATTGACTACGTCTGGAATTGCCCTGAAAATATTGATAAGCTGAGGAATGAAGCTCAAAAGCTCAATGATATGAAGGGCATGGTTCAACAGCGAATCAATGTAGCTAAAGATAAAGGAGATCGTCTCTTAGATGGTGTGCAAAACTGGATCGAAAAGGCCGAAGCTGAAGTCTCCAATGCCGGGGAGTTTCTTGAAGGTGAAGCTAATGCCAAGAAAACATGCTTTAACACACGACTATGTGTCAATTTGGGCACCCTTCGTCATTACAGTAAGATGGCAACATCAAAGACAAGTACTATTCTACAGATCCACGAAGATGGCAAAACATATGAGAGTTGTGTCTCCATTCCTGCTCCCACTCCAAATATCCTAGACCTATACGAACGCAAGAATCTTGATGATATCGATACACACAAGTTTACTTTGGGTGAAATCATTAAAGCTCTCTCAGATGAAAGCATACAAATCGTTGGAATCTTCGGCTCAGGAGGTGTTGGAAAAACAACATTAGCCAAGGAAGTTGTTGCAGAAGTGAAGAATCTATTTGCAGATATTGTGTTTATAACCGTCTCAAAAACTGTAGACGCTACAAAGATTCAAGAAAAGGTGAATATAGCAGCAAAGCGAATAATCAATGGGGACAAGGTTCTAATCGTTTTAGATGACATATGGGAGGAACTATTACTCTCTGATGTAGGCATTCCGTGTGGGAATAACCACATGAACTGCAAGATTTTGTTAACATCAAGAAGCAGAAATGTATGTGAAGCAATGAATGTGCAACGTAATATCTGTGTAAACACTTTGACTGAAGACGAATCGTGGATCCTTTTTAAACGTGTGGTTGGTGAAAAAATAGAGACAGACACTAGCTTGAAAAAAATCGCAAAAGCTGTCGTTCAAGAATGTGGTGGATTGCCACTCATCATTCAAGCTGTGGGAAGAGCCTTGAGAAGCAAATCCAGTCCAATATGGGAGGCGACACTGGATCGGCTACAAAAACATGCTCCTCTAGATATCGCTCCTGAGATAAGGAAGGCGTTTACGCATTTGAAGCTGAGTTATGAGTATCTTGAAAGTGAAGAAGCTAAATCTTGCTTCTTACTAAGTAGTTTGTATAGAGAAGATGGATCGATTCGGGTTACAGATTTGGTAAGCTATGGGGTGGGTCTAGGGATATTTAATAATCTCGATAGCATTCAAGATGCAAGAAATAGAGTTCAAATTGCAGTTGACACTCTCAAATCATCTTTCTTGTTATTGCCAACGGAGTACAAAGATCTTGTTGAAATGCATGACGTTGTTCGTGATGTGGCGTTGTTAATAGCTTCTAAAGGTAAAGATAATTTTTTGGTGAATTCTGGAAAACGTTTGAGAGAATGGAAGCCAACAAAGAATACTTCTGAAAGCTACACGAAGATCTCTCTCATGTATAATAAAATTTCTGAGCTTCCTGATCAAGACCTTCAATTCCCTCTTCTTGATACCTTCATTATACGAGACAATGAAATTTCATTTGTCAGTGATGAATTCTTTCGAGGAATGAAAGAAGTTAAAGTTCTAGATTTGTCTTATAACAATCTCTGCTTCCTCCCACAATCAATGAAGCTGCTCAAAAAACTCCGCATGCTTGATCTAACTGCGAACAATGGCATCAATGAAATTTCTCTACTTGGGGAGTTAAAAGACCTTGAGATTCTAATGCTTGGATTTACTGGAATTGAACAGATTCCTGAAGAGATTGGTCAATTGACCAGTTTAAGGATGCTGAATCTTGAGTGGTGTGACTCTCTATCATGTATAACACCTGGTGTCATATCAAGGCTCACTTGTTTGGAAGAGTTGTACATTTTACACTGTGGTGGAGATATTGCTGAACTTAGTCTTGTGGAACTAAGTAAGTTGAAGTCGTTTAGAACTCTACATTTATTTGTGTATAATCCTGGTTTTTTCTCCAAAGGTACTGCGGAATTGGAAACATTATCAGGGTTTTATATTCAAATTGGTGATAGATCAGATTCTGTTTTTTCAATACAGAAATCTCATATACGACGCCTGCTGTATATTGCTCGTGTTGGGAACGTATTTACTGATTCAGTGAAGAAACTGGTTCAGGTAAGTGAGTCTATTGTGTTGGAGTCGATAGAAGATATGGATAGCATTCTACCAGACATGTATGAAGAGAATTTTAATGATTTAAAGTCTATCACTTTGCGTGGTTGTCACAATGTTTCGTGCTTGGTGAAGACTATGGAACAAGATGCAATGCAAATCTTTGGTGAAAGGGAAACAAAGGAGAAGTTTTTCGCCCAAATGGAAGAAATCATCTTGGTAGATCTGCAATGCTTGGAGCTTCTATGGGATTGCCCACATCAATATATAAGCTTTGGTAATCTACAAATAATCAAAATTAAAGGCTGCCCCTCCTTGGTAAGTCTAATTCCAGTAGATGTAGCACAAGGGCTTGTGAATCTGAGTGAGATAGAGATTCAAGATTGTGATAATCTTGTAGTAGTGATTTCGGGAAGTGGTGAACATAAAAATGATGGTGAAATTGAGCAAACAGAAGGCACTGAAATTGATGCAGAGATCGTGTTCTCTTGCCTTACCAGTATTAGCTTGAGTGGTTTATCTGGACTTGAGAGCTTCTACTCTGGTCATTCTACTATCAAATATCCTTCTTTGAAGTTTATAAAGGTGGAAGGTTGTGTAAGCATGACTAGATGGGGTCATGGAGTCCATGTTATACCTAACATCAAATTTCATGATCAAGGAAGAGATTGTTCCATCAATGATATCATCGCAAATGAGGTATGTAAAAGGTAGATCCACACATATATACCATTATATTATTGTTTTGTTATGTGGTCTAATGTGTTAATAACTTTTGTAGGCCAGTGGAGAAATAGAATTTGGAAGTCTGAAATGATGATTAAAAAAGTGCATCGCCAGTGAAACACATGGTACTAGTGAATGGATTTTATAGTGCGTTTTTTTTAATGATATGTTTGATATTGTATCGTATATATATGAAACAACTCAATACCAACTAGGCAAATACTGATATTGCTATAATAGTACATATATTTTGGTGCAATATCTTAATGTTTTGAGCTATATTTTAAATTCAAAATAAATGATATTGATATGCTTTGATTTGATAATCTACAAATAAATTTATAGCTGATAAGATAAAAAGCTAAGTGAAGCAGATAAGGACCAAAGTGAAGATCTAGATAAAAGTAGAAGTATGTGATGCGTCCAAGCACATATACACGACTAGTAGAGGCTTAAGACTTCGACTAAAAAGTGGACACTTACCACAAAGTGATGCCTCCAAGACAATTAGGTGTCACGTTTGCTATCGGTTTAGAAAATCGATATAAGGCATGATCTCTAAGCCTAAAAGTGGTGCAATTTGTGGCAATCTTAGCACACAAGTCAAAAGATTAATTTTGAAAACCATAAACCATTTGAAGTTGGAAATCAACATTGGAACATTATTTTGAAGATCAAAGAGTGGAGTTCTTTAGGAATCGTTTGGTTTGCTTTATTACAATGTGTACCAATTCCATTATGAATTCTTTCTGTTTTCTAGTTATAATTATGGGTTGATCGCCTTTTACTTTCGCTCAGATGTAGAGGAACCACTTTGATTATGCTTTGATTCGATTTTTCATTACATATTTATGTGGTTTATATAGATTAGAGAACCAATCTGACTATATTAAGTTGAATCAGAACATGTTTTACGACCGTCAAAGTTGTTATGATTAGTAATGGACATAATCCTAAGGGTTAATAAATAAAAACTTTAATGTGCAAGATTACATGTAATAACTATTAAAACGTTGTCGTAGGCATCCTAAACAAATAAAATATCACTGCTCGAATGCACTATAGGATATCATTGGGAAGCAGTGTCGAATCCTCGGGGACACGGCCTAAAATTCAACGTGACTTTGCATAAGGCACAAACTAATCATAAAACATAAAATATAAAAAGAGGGATTTTGTTTGTAATGAAATCTAAAAACTGCATTGAAATAAACCTAAGAAATTCAATAATAAAAAACGAATTTAGTTCTATTGCGACTTTCCTAATCATGCAATTATCACAGAGTAAGTTCTTTTTTACCTAGTTAATTAAAAAAAAAACAATATCTTTAATTAATCCTAACGTTTTACTAACTTAATTAAACATGCTCTTAATCAATATATATATATATATATATATATATATATATATATATATATATATATATATATATATATATATATAATATGATGTGTGTAAAATTTCAATAATATTCAATACTTCTCACAAGCTCGGAAGCGTAAAAATATAAACTTTTAGTTTATAATAGAGTCAAATCCCAAAACGAAACGATTATGTGACTTGTTACTTATTACCAATTGATTAGAAAAATTATTGATTTCATTAACTGGATAACTAGATTTATTTAATCATAAATTAAGTAATCAGCCTAAAAAGAACTAAAATCAAACATTCATTAAGATCAAAACTGAAATATCTAGAAGCAAGATTTTGTTGACATATGGGAGGAACTATTACTCTTTGATGTGGGCATTCCGTGAGTGAATAACCACATGAACTGCAAGATCTTGTTGACATCAAGAAGCAAAAATGTATGTAAAGCAATGACTGTGCAACGTAATATCTGTGTAAAACACTTTGACTGTTGATGAATCCTGGATCCTTTTTAAACGTGTGGTTGGTGAAAAATAGAGACAAACACTAGTTTGAAAAAAACGCAAAAGTTGTCGTTCAAGAATGTGGTGGATTGCCACTCATCATTCAAGTTGTGGGAAGAGCCTTGAGAAGCCAATCCAATCCTATATGGGAGGTGACCTTGGATCGGCTAAAAAAACATGCCCCTCTAGATATCGCTCCTGAAATAAGGAAAGCATTTACTCATTTGAAGCTGAGTTATGAGTATCTTGAAAGTGAAGAAGCTAAATTGTGCTTCTTACTAAGTAGTTTGTTTAGAGAAAATGGAACCATTCCAGTTACAGATTTTGTAAGCTATGGGGTGGGTCTAGGAATATTTAATAATCTCGATAGCATTCAGGATGCAAGAAATAGTTGACACTCTCTGTCATAACTAGCAAATTATCTAGGAAATTGTATACTTTTGTAAACATTAACAAGGGCATCAATTGTGACCATAACTTAAAAATGTGTATGATGTTTATTCAATAACAATAAACTTCCATCAAAATCCAACTGTAAATCCCAAAACTTTATACAAAATACTTCAAATAGTCAACAAAAGATTGGAAACCCTAAGAATCTCAGTTTAAGTCCATTACGGACAAGGATTTCCTTATTGGGCCTAATGGACCAATAAGCTTCCAATTTTACTATTTTTGGGCTTAGGACCTTAAATGGGTTCAAGTTGGACCCATATTCATCAACCTTAACATTTTGGGCCATGATGGGTCTAAAATGAATTAGTTACCCTTAATGGGCCTTGTTGGGCCATAACTAATCTAATTAACCCTAAAGGACCATAAAACCCATTCTTTTATGCTATTTGGGCCATGAACTATCCTAAAGGCCCAATGGGCCGAAAAAAATTTATGATTAGGTTCCAAAAATCCCATCTAGACTTTTAATGGACTCAAACTATCCCATTCCTATTTTCTTGGCCCAAAGTCTCGGCGCAACATCATTTAACAAAAAAAAAAGATTAGGAGAGGATTATGGAGGGATGGATAACTCACAATTAACCATCAAACATCAAGAAAATTCTCATGCATCAAGGAGAACCATTGCCCTCCATGCAAAAACTTTTTCTCCCTCTCTTTTTCTTTGTCTCGGCCAAAAGCAATTACACACACACACACACACACACACCTCCAAAAAAAATCTCCAAGCACTCTCTAATCTCTCAAGAACACTCTCTCCTTTTCATCAAAAATTCTAAGACTTATGTGTATGGCATAAGAGATTTTCATCTAGATCATCAAAACTTGGTAAGTCATTACATCTCCTAAATGGATAAACTCCATTCCTATGATAAGATCATTCCTACTAAGCATTTTATTTCTTGATCCATACTCTAGAACTTCTTAGAACTCAAGATCAACCCAAGGAAAGCTTGCTAGGGCCAAAGATCACATCACCTTCTTCCATTCTTCTTCAAAACAGAAACATCAAACCCCAAGGTGAGTTTGTGACATCCCCATTTTTCATGGCCAGAAAAGACCGAACCTTGAAGCAAGCTCTCTGTATTGCACCCGTACTATCCTTACCAGAGGGAACTGAAGACTTTGTACAGTACTGCGATGCTTCAAATCAGGGTTTAGGTTGTGTACTTATGCAGCGTGGGAAGGTGATAGCTTATGCATCCAGACAACTAAAGACGCATGAACAGAATTACACCACACATGATCTCGAGCTAGAACTACCTGTATGGTACAAAGTGCACCATTTTCACTGACCACAAAAGCCTCCGGCACATTCTGAACCAGAAAGAGTTGAACATGAGGCAGCAGAGATGGGTCAAACTGCTAAGCTATTATGAGTGCGAAATCAAGTACCACCCGAGTAAGGCTAACGTGGTAGTTGATGCCCCGAGTCAAAAGGAATACTCGAATCGCCATGTGAAAACTCTCTTGATAACCATTCAATCCTACCTATCATTGTAGATCAAAAAGGCCCAATTTGATGCAATGAAATTAGAAAACATAGCAAGTGAAGCATTACGTGGGATGGAAAAGAACTTCGAGCTCATGGAGGATGGAACATATTATTTCATGAACCGAATATGGCTCCCTAAACTTGGGGGATTCAGAGAAGTAGTCATGAACAAGGCTCACAAGGTACGATACTCCATTCATCCAGGTTCAGATAAAATGTACCTAGATATCAAGCAGCATTATTGGTGGCCTAATATGAAGGCAGAAATTGCCACTTACCTAAGCAAGTGTCTCACTTGTACTAAGGTGAAACTGGAATATCAAAATCCCTTGGGACTATTACAACACCCTGTGATACCCGAGTGGAAATGGGAAAGGATTACCATGGACTTTGTGACCAAATTACCCAAGACAACTGACGGGTTGGACACTATATCGGTAATTGTTGATAGGTTGACAAAATCCGCTCATTTCCTGCCAATAAAGGAGTCTTATAAGATGGAAAGATTAACCAGGATATACATCAAGGAGAATAAGAGACTTCATGGGGTGCCAATATCTATTATCTCGAATCGAGATAGTAGGCTTAATTCACGATTTTAGCAGTTGCTTCAAAAAGCTTTGGGAACACAACTTGACATGAGTACTACTTACCACCCCCAGACGGATGGTCAAAGCGAACGAACCATCCAAACGCTCGAAGATATGCACCAAGCATGTGTGATCGACTTCGATATGTCATGGGATACCCACTTTCCTTTGATTGAGTTCTCATACAACAAAAATTATCACACGAGCATCAAGGTTGCTCCTTTCGATGCATTATATGGTCGTAAATGTAGATCACCGTTATGCTAGGTTGAAGTAGGTGACACTCAGCTAGCAAAAAAGGGCAGGCACCAAACATCACCCTAACAGGGCCAGAAATCATTCATGAAACAATAGAAAAGATAATTCAAATTAGAGCTAGACTCCAAGCATCGCGAGACTGACAAAAGAGTTACACCGACAAGCGGCGAAATCCCTTAGAATTCCAAGTCAGGGATTGGGTGCTATGGAAAGTCTCTCTTTGGAATGGGACAATTCGTTTTGGAAATGGGGGAAACTAAACCCACGATACATTGGACCATTCGAGATTCTTTCCCAATTTGGCCCAGTAGCTTATAGGTTGTAGCTACCTGCAGAGCTCAGCAGCGTACACCCCGTGTTCCATGTTTCCAATCTAAAGAAGTGCTTATCCGATGAAACTCTCGTCATTCCATT